GATGACACCAAATGTTGCAGGCTTTTGACAGTCCCTGGAACCACTCATTAAACGCCATTCCCCAAAACAAAGTGGACTCTGGTTTCAGTGCAGACTGTTAGGCCCCTTGCTGTTGACCTGCCAGCTCCAGAGCACTGCTTTCTGAGGGCATAGCTGGGAGAGCCAGAGCTCAAACTCACCGCATGCTCCATGACTTCTTTGTCTGAGGGTTGCTGGGCAGATCCAGCCTGGCCTCCCACAGCAGAAGAGAGGCCTTGTTATCCTCCAGGTCTTGGTCCCGGCCTACCAAAATAGCAAATATATGAGTTAATACTTAACTGAGCTTAATGATAAATGATTACAAGAATAAAAGAGTACACTAAAAAAACCTGCTATTTTTAAGAGAAAAGCCAAAACTGTGTGTTCCTGTACATTTACTTATTTATCTTGAGACAAGATCTCCTTATGCGTCCAGGAACCTTGAACGGGCAATGTGGGTCATGAATTTCTAGGTTCAGAAAAGAGAGCAGCTCAGCAACACTGAGTCCGGAAACATTCACTTGTCTTGACCTTCTTCTTTTGCACACAGGAATTTTTAGCATTAAGATGATCAGAGATGCATGAGGTGATGGATGTGCTAGGGAGTCTGTCAGAGTTTTGTTTATAATAAAATAAGAAGCAATGCCATGCCCCACCCCAGAAAAGCATTTTAATAAAATATACAACACCAATATCTTGGAATATTTAGGAGACCATTAAAATTATGTTTCAAATGGAAAATAAGCCATCAGTAGGTGAGTAGGTACAGTCATTGCAGAGTACTAATTGTGGAGGATTGGAATGCTAGTTAGCCACAAAAAGGAATGATTATTCATACATACAGCAGGAATGAATCTTAAACTATTATGTAAAGCAAAAGCAAAAAAGAGAGTAGGGGGAAAATGTGTATTTAAAACCTTCATATGCAGTTCTGGAGTAAGTAAATAAAACACTAACCTGTATGCCTCTGAGGTAAACCCAAAGATTTTCTTACAAGGTTGTTGTTGTTAACTTTTGTTTCTTTGTTGTTGCCACTGCTGCTACTGTTGAAATGAGGTCTCACTGTGTTGCCCAGACTGGGCTTGAACTCACAACCCTCCAGCCTTGACCTCCCTAGTAGCTGGAATTACAGGTTTGTGCCACTGCTGCTGGCTTTGCTGTGTCTTGGGAGTGTGAACCCAAGGTAACCATTTGTCAAACTCATCTCCTTTATGTACTTCATTTCAGCTCACACTTGAGGTAAGAAGATTCAAAGTTTAATTATGCCTCAGAAACTTGTATTTTCCAGTTAGGCATGATGGCTCAGGCCTGTAACCTCAGAACTCAGGAAGCTGAGACAGCCGATTGCTGCAAGTTTGAGGCCAGACTAGGCTATACAATGAGTTCAAGTCCAGTTTCAGCTACATAATGAGACCTCATCTCAGAGGGGAAAAAATCATATTTTCCAAGAAGGTTTAATAAAATAGATAAAGGATTCACTTTACAGTTTTAATTTGAAAGAATTAAACGGGAAAGACTCATAATGATACAGTGCTATGTATACAGTCAGTTTATATAAAATAAAATATATGAATAAAAATAGAGAAAAATGGATAGAAATGACAAAGGTTATATGTTAATGAACATATGCTTTCATGGTTGAAAAAATAGTCATTATTCATAAATTACTACTTAAGTAATTACTCTTAAATTATTCTCGCTCTATTCCAAATTCCCTTTTTCTCTTGATAGTCTACTTTTGGCCTTTCAGCTCTTCAAACACAAAACTTGCATTTCCTGTCCCTCTAACGACCCTGCCACCATTCTCTGCAGCTGATTCGTTCCTGCTCAGCCTTCAGCTCACAGGTCAACCCTGACACCCTCAGAGCAGCCCTTCTTGCCCCTCCCTGGGCAAGCCCTACCTTAGGAGCCTGAGACCTCTTCTTTGTGGCACTTGAGAGCCACAGTTTTCAATCTCTTTGCATGCAACTTCTTAGGCAAACTGCAAGGCTAAGGACATTGTCTTCTAGACCACCAACCCTGCCCAAGGCTCTGCTGCTCCCAGTGACAAATATGGAAATCTCCCCAAACTACCCTTACCTTCAACAATTTCACAAACACACTGTGTTCATGGTTGTATTTAATACAAGGTGAGGGTGCAAATCAGAACCTGAGGAGAAAGAGGGCAGAGACCAGAAGTTTCCAAATATGAACTGAAATAGCAGTTTGCTTCAGGATGCCTCACCTTCCAGCTCCTATGTGTGACACACGCACATGCCACAGCACTGGCCTCCAAGAGGCTGACCCAGAGGGTCCCAAGTTTTGTTTTGTCATGTTGTACTGGGATCAAACTCACAACCTTGAACTTGCCAGGTAGACACTGGGCCACTAAGCTACAATCACCGGCCCCAACCCCAATTTTCACTGAGACTTCACTGTGCAAGCAGGATTGATTGATTCACTGCTTGATTGCCCTCTAGCTTGCACTCAGCCCCTAAATCACACAGTGGGTCTTTTTGGATTGATGGCAGTGGCCAACCCCTACCCTTGAGTTTTGAGGATGAAAAGTCCACAGTGGGTCATCCTATCAGCATAAACCATTAGGTGTGGTTTCCGGGACTTAATTGGATTAATATAGACTTCCTATCTTGTCAGGAAATTCTAAAGGTTTAGATTCAGCCCTTATGTCCTGGGAACTGGGGCAAAGTTCCAACCCTCTCTGAGCAAGACAGAAGAATTCTTACTGCACAGTTTGGTTATGTCAAAAATGTCCTCTCTCCTCCTTGACTCCGAACTCCAAAAGTGACTCCCAGTTCTATCCTGGGCGCATAGCACAATGGGCTATGCTGTGTAACATACATGGATTTGGATGTGAGATGATCTGATGCTGAAGCCTGGCTCTTCTTTCCACTAACTGGGTGACCCTGGGCGGAAGCCTTAACCTCTCAGTGCTGCCTCACTGCCCTTCCCTGCATGTTGGGAGGATGATAATCGGTGCTCCAATGACTGAATGAACGCACATCAGTAAAGTTCTCAGTATAGTGTGTGACGCAGTAAAAACTGGATAAGTGTCTAATGTCATTAAATACTCAATAAGTAACCACTGAAGAATAAGTGTCTATTACTTGGTAAGTGCTTAGTAAACATTTACTGAGACAATAGGAAGAAAGATCTTCTTAGTATATTTTCTTACTAACACAATATCATATGCACTAATGTGGGGGGACATGCCATTAATTATTCAAAAGCGTAGATCACTAATATGCTGTAAGGAAAAAAATGGAATTTAGAGTCTTCTCATCTCTTCAGCAAGGAGTGCCCTCAACCATTTAGTGAGGATCTGAATTAGAGTTTAAGGTCTCTGCCAACTCCAACATGTTTGTCCTTAGAAAACAAACTAGATAGAACAACAGAGAAGCCCATTTTACATGCAGGCATGAAAACTTTGAATATGTAAGTTTCTGTTGTAGTCAGGGGTTGTACGCAGAACAATTCAAATCAGGACATGGAGTTTATAATATTTTTATAATGGTCACCGGAAGTTAACACAGGAGAAGGCAGGAAATCTATCCGCAACACCAAAGACATAGATTATTTAGTCAAGAGCCTAAACCCCACGGCAATGTCCCACATGAGTCCAGATAAAAACCCAGAGCTCAGGACAATGCCTCCACGAGTCCAACTGGAGGTCCAGAGCCCACAAAAAGGACTCACGTCAGACTCTTTTACGGATTTATGCCGGGAAGACCCAGGGGTCAGCGGTGGAAGCCAGAAAGTCTATTCCAGCAGGATGAAGGAGCTGTGCCAGTGGGATGAGGGTTCTACACTGGAGCCGAGAAGTCACACTCACAACAAAGAGCGAGGCTGTCCTTGAAGGCACCACAGCTTGTCCTCAGCGACACGGAGGCCCCAAGGTCCTCCGACGACAAGCACAGTCGGGTACGTGCCAGGAAGCAGCGTGACAAGTTCATCCTGAAGACCAAGCAGCACATGTCTTCCCCTCCGGAGCCAGAAAGCAATGCTCAATATGAAGACCAAAGCTTCTCCAGGAGAAGCAACAGCTCAGACAGCAACTCGTAGGAGAACCCACAATGCCTTCTTAACGCCTCAACCCCCTCTCAACACCTCTCTTCTTCTCCACCTATTTATCCTGGCAACCCTCCTCAGGTGGAGCATCTTCTCTCAATGCATGCTGATGTAATCCAGCTGGCGTTAAGTTGACCACCAGTCTTCGAACCATAACAGTTTCCAATAACAAATGAAAGGACAGGGAATTTTCAGTTGATTATAAAAATTTGTGAAATGTTTGACAACATAGGTTTGAATTGCAGCAGTATACTTTTATTAATTTGATGGAATTTGATCCCTGGTAAACTATAAACAAAGGTCACAGAAAATTTATTTCAATCTGTGAGAAATAACTAATTTTGTTTTTTTGGTTTTTTGGGTGTTTTGTTTTGTTTTGTTTTGAGACCAGGGTCTGTCTCTGCAGTTCAGGCTGGCCTTGAACTCACTTTGTAGTTCAGGCTGGCCTCGAACTCGCAGTGATCCTCCTGCCTCAGTCTCCTAAGGATTAGGATTACAGCAAGTGCCTCACCATGCCTGGCTTTAGAAATGGCTAATTTTATCTTGGCACCCACACTGGCCTAACAGGAGCTTCTAGAAGGTGATTGATAGTTAAATCAATCTTGTCTCTAAGCCAAAGATAACAACACCTTCAAAGAATACTGTTAGCAATTTAAAAATCCACTTTTTTAAAAGACATTCTGTTTAGTTTCAAGGCAATGCGTATTCACTTAAATACAATAATCAAATGTTTTAAAACTGATTTATTATTAAGCAGCTATAAAGTCACTTAATAATGAAAGGTAAATTGTTTCCAGATGCATATTTTCCTAAGGTAGCAAATACTAACAATGCGTTCCGGCCCGCAGTGTGCACACGCGCATCCCAGAGCGACCTTGTGCCCTCTGCTAAAGCGCTGCCTTCTCCTGTGCCCTCAGTGCTGCCGCAGGCGGTCACACAGTTTGAAGAGCTGGTCTGGATGGCAGAGACCCTGCTGAAGGGCGGAGGCACCATGCCGACCCCTGCGTCCACCCTCTGGAGAGCAACCAATAACTCCTCGCCAGACTCCTTGGCCTCCACCTGCAGTAATTCCGCTTCGCACTCCAGCTCGCCAGCGTCCCCGAAGGCGGAGGGAGAGCATCCCCCGGAGGAGAAGCAGGTCAGTGGGGAACCGTTTCACACAAAAATTAAAACGAATGTGCAAGGCAGTTGTGTTCCATAGGACTACAGATAGTCCTCACTCAAGAAAGAGCCAGGCTGCTTAACTTCGGTCCAGGCGGGCCCTGCCTTCGGGCTGCACGCAGGAGCTGCAGGCCTGCTACCTAACACTGGCTTCTTTCGCGGGGTGTACACCCTGCAGGGTCGTCCTTTTGTGTTCTGTTACACGTTACAGAGCTACTCGAACAGTTATGCAAATAAAAGCGAAGTGGTCAGGTTGGACCTTCGCGTGACCACTCCTTTGCTCTCAGTACTGTAAAGTGCGCACTCCACACAGTTCCTCACTAGTGACCCAGGCGCAGGACTGGAACTCGGCCGTTAGGTGAGAAGTGCCTGCATTTCACTTTTACCATAAAAACTGCTATTTGTGAAACAAATACCTGGCTAAAGACAAATCATGGACAAATTGAAGTATTTAAATTTATTTTCTACAAGTGTATGTTTATGATACATAATAATCACATTCATTTTGGAGAATTGGTGCATATATATATTGCATCTTGATAATCTTTACTCTCCTTTTCCCATCTCCCCCAAAGTCGACGTTTTTAAAACTATGAAATTTTTGAGCCCATAACAAAAAGGTAGATACTAAGAACTATAAAATACTAAGAACTATAAAATTTTCATCATTGAGAAAAGATACATTTCAGCCTCTTCATGCTGGGTGAGCATAACTCTATTTTTCCATTTTTCTCTTAGTCAGAAAACAGAAGCCAAAAAGATAAGAGCTTAGTTAAAGTCAAGTATCAGCCTTGGGAAACATGCCTTTGTAAATGACAAGTGCTAACAATCTAATATTCACAATATTCAAATCTTTTTTCTTTTTATCGGTACCGGGGATCGAACTCATGACCACCTGCTTGCAAGGCAGGTGCTTATGCCACTGAGCTAAATCCCCAGCCCCTACAATTTTTTTTTTTTTTGGTCTTTTTCGTTTTTTATCGGTACCAGGAATCGAACTCACGACTGCCTGCTTGCAAGGCGGGCGCTTATGCCGCTGAGCTAAATCCCCAGCCCAGCCCCTACAATATTTAAATCTTAGTATTTACTTTCCTATGGCTACGTAACAATTTCCCACACAGTGGGTTTGTATGACACAAATTTATTATTTCAAATTGCCAAGTGTCAGAAGTCTGGTAGGTCTCACTGGACTAAACCAAGTACCAGCACATTGCTTTCTGTGGGCTTTAGGGCAAAATCTGTTTCTGCACATTCTGTTGGAGTCAAAGTTAGTTTCTTGCATACTCCTAAATTTTCCATCCCTTGCTGGCTGTAACCAGGCTGAAGGCCTTTCTCAGGCGATCACTTTCCTTGGGTGGCCGCCTGCTTCTACCCTCTGCAGAGCCACCTGTGGCAGGTCAAGTCCTTACTCATTCAATCTGTCCTGCTTCTGTCTCTCTTTTTGGACCTCCCCTTCTGCCTCCCTCCTCTGCGTTTAAGGATTCATGTGAGTAGACGGGGCCCCACCTAAATAATCGCCCATCTCAAGGTATTTAACTTTACTAGCATCTACCCAGTTATTTTTGCCCTGGGTAACATGTCAGTGCAGGGATTAGGATGTGGGCGTCTTCAGGGAGTCTCTCCTCTGCCTGCCACATTTCATTGGTAGTCTTGAGGACAGAACTGATTCTTGAAGCATCAAGTCCAGATTGTATGACAAGAATTTGCATATAACCTTGCATAGATACTTCGCAAACACTGAGAATTATCTCAAACATGTTTAATCCCTGAAATGTAAGTTGTATATTAGAAGTATAAAGTCCTCCCTTAAAGAATGTTGATATCATTCTCTGCTATGTTTTAACTCAATAACACATTTCTCTAATCATTTTCCTTTTTCTAATTTCAATTATCATTTCTTATTTTTTAGTTCAAGATTGAAAAATGGCAGATTGCCCGTTGTAATAAGAACAAACCTCAGAAGTTTATTAATGATTTAATGCAAGTGCTTTACACAAATGAATACATGGCCACCCACAGCTTGACTGGGGCAAAATCCTCCACTTCAAGGGACAAAGCTGTAAAGCCAGCTATGAATCAGAATGAAGTTCAAGAGATCATAGGTGATAATATGATTGCATTATACTGCCTCGTGAATCTGAAATTATTACATTCAAAGTCAATTTATTCTGTCAGGATCTTTGTAGAAAGTATTCTTTGAAAAAAATTTTAGAATGGTTTAATATTCTAATTCAATATGGAAAAGCTTTTAATTAAAGTGATTATTAAGTAGGACTGAAGCTAATATAACTGAAAAGTTTGACTTAATAAAACTCATAGCTTTAGAAAATAAAAGTTTCAAGTTATTCTAAAATAAAACTTCAACAGCAACTTGTATCTTGTTTTTCCAGTCTTAGTTATGGCTCATCTTTTATTCTACAAAGATAGAGGTTAATTTGACTATTCCATTTGTGGTTTTTAAATTATGCATCTCCTTAAATTCAGTCATCTGAATTTAAGAATTTAAGAAATTTAGAGATCCAAGAAATTTAGAGATTTGCTGATTCTGAGCTTAATATATCTCAGTTCTTGCTTAGAAAAAGATAGGCTAGAATATAGTTGTTTTGATTGATGTTAGGGATAGATAAAAATAAATTCCTTACATTTTGAAGCAAAGATATAGAATTCAAAGCAAGTTGTAGCATAAAATTTAAATGGTTCTATAGGACAATAAATTCGTATGTTCTTCATTTATTAAGTAGATCTGATGTTTTTTGCTTTGCTTTGAAAAACCTGCCTGTGTATTCACCCATTTATAAGAGTGCTACTTCGTAATATAAAGACAAAAATACAGTGTAGGATGTGTGGTGTGTTCCTAAGATGGAAAAGTCTTCTAAAATTATCCTATGTTATTATTGTCTTTTACAGGAGTAACAAAACAGTTATTTCCCAATACAGATGATGTTTCAATTAGAAGAATGATAGGGCAAAAACTAAACAACTGTACCAAGAAGCCAAATGCAAGCAAAAACCTTAACTCTCAGGATATTAAGTAGACGCCTTTGGTAAGTCTTTAAATCTTCACAGTCCTTCACTGTGGCAAGAGGATGACATACTGTTTATGCCAGGGGCACAGCGTCCTGCAAATACTCGGTACAGACTCCTGGTGACCTGCAGCATAATGTATCACTGGGGATGAGGAGGCGAGCTACAAAGGGAAGTTACACTTGGCGAATGCTGAGTTCCCTTTCCCAGACTCTCTCGGACATGTGGATACTCTTGATTTGGCCACGTGCACCAGAAACCTATAAAAAGGCAACGTGCTCTATGCCGTTCATTGTTCTCCCCCAAGTTTCCACCTGCGCTCTCTGCAGAGAATGTATCCCCTTGGGCTCACGGGCACTGTGCCATCCACCAGGTGTTTCTGCTCTGCGATGCAAGCTAGATCTGCAGGGCTCACAGGCATCGAGGCTGAGCGGTGGACAGCGGTGCTGCAACAAGGATGCAGTGACCTCCGCGCCCCACACGCTGCCTGTCCTTGCCTGTAGATGTTTTACAGTACTCTTTATCTTTTCCACTTTATTCTATCTTTGACTTCTTTTTGCCTGTCCTCTCCCTGGTTAAGCATCTCAGATGCCGCGTTGCTGTGGGCCCTTCCACTGACCATTCTAGGTGGGGTAGGACTGTAAGCAGTACAGCGCCTCCTCTCCACTGCCTAGAACCTCCTCTTCCTCCCAGAGGTTCCTTTATCAAATATGCTGCACAAGGAAGGCAGCTCTGAGGAAAGTAACAGGAGCATCTCTTCCTTAAAAAAATAGAATAAGGGCAGTGGAATCTTCCTCTTGGCTCACACATCCTGGTGACTTACAGAGCTGTAGAGCATATAGCTATTTGGGTTTTTTTTAATCCCTCAAGGAATATAAATTTCAGACTATCATGAAGGTCATAATTTTCCATTATTAGATGATTGCTTAAATGGGTCTTACTATAACCAAGGCTAACTAGTTGTCACAGTGTATGATGATGAAGTTCCCTTCTGAGTGCTCTGGAACCAGACCTTCAGGTCAGATGTCTATCTTTTGGAGCACAGTATAATATTTCAGAACTCCATAAAGCACTTTAACACTCTAAGCATGCCTTTTTAGTTTTTTAGACCACCAAGGGTAGGTACAAAACCCATGTCTGTCACATATCAGCTGGAAGGAGGTTGCAGAGATGATCACTAAAAGATTTTTATATCGGTTTTGCTTGTATTTACAATTGGTAGTGTTATTAAACTACCTGAATATTATTTAAAATTTGAACAAAACAAAAACCTTTCTCTCTGAACACAGTATGTTCTTGCATCTCTGGGCCTGAGTCTAGCTTTGTACTGCCAAATTGCTTACATTAGAAATGCATATGTTTGGAATAAGAAATGATGATTAACATCATAATGGAAATCTTGTTTCAGTTGGTAGATATGTTTCATTGGAAATATAGTTAAATTCAAATTATGTCCAAAAGATGGGAAAATACAGTGCTGGGCAAGACAGAGCCACATGAACCATTTATGCTTGATAATTAAATACAACACCATCTATTGGGCTGCTGCCATAATTAAGGTGACTACATTTATTCAGGGGAGAGTCCCATGGTAGGTAGCTCTTAATGACAGGAGCTCTTGCAGAAGAGCTCACTGGAAACAGGAAGCCATAGAAATTCAGGTCCCACATGCTCGTTTATAACCCACTCTGGCAGGAACTAACTAGGGTTCTAAGAAAACTATGAATCCTTCCCAAGGTCAGTGCCCCAGTAACACAGCCTTCTTCTGCTAAGTCCCAACTCTACACTACCAGCCCGAAGACTGTGCCTCCAGTACTTGAAACTTTGGGACAAACTACATCCAAACTATAGCACATGGTACTCCAGCAAAACAGAGGGAGGAGATTATTTTAAGCAATTGGCTTAAGCAGTTGTGCCAGCTGGCAAGTGTAAAAACACAGGGTAGGCTGGCAGGCTAGAGACCCAGGAAGGGTTGACGTGATAGCCTTAAGTCTGAAGACAGTCTGGAAGCAAAATGCATTCTTGCTCAAGGACTTCAGTCTTTGTCTTTCAAGGCCTTTGTCAGCTTGGAGAAGGCTCCATCCACATTATACATTATGAAAGAAAATGTGCTTTATGTTGAGTACTGATTTCCTGAAATGATAATCTTGTCTAAAAATACCTCCAAAGAAACATGTAGTCTGACATGTGACTGAAGAATTGGATACCATAGTTAACACACAACATTAACTATCACAACTAATGCTTTACAACAGAAAGTCTGGTTTGGAAGGCTGCTCCAAATTTCCATAACTTTGTGAACTTCACAAGTCACTTGACTTCTCAGGACCTCAGTTTACATAGGATTTGATTATTTTGTGTTTTAAATGAGCTAAAGCACATCTAGGAAACTGGCAGACACTTCAGAAGCAATCACTCAGCATAACAAGAATGATAGAATTGCTAATTATCTTTAAGATGGTAAATGGTATTTTTGGGTATTCATTGTATTTTGTTTTTAAATTGATCTAATAAAAAGCTTTTAAAAAGTCATTTTAAGGCTGAGGATGTGTTCAGTGGAGAGTGCTTGCCATCATGTGCAAAGCTTGGCTTCAATCTGCAGTAACATATAAAGAAAAAGAAAAGTGACATCAGATAACAATAACTGATTCTGTGCTAGAATTCTTCTGACTACATCATAAAATATTTTCTAAGACACTTGAGTAGTAATAGTTCTTATCAACAGTTTGTATTTTTAAGAACAAACATATATAAAAATAAATAACGCAGAACACTTAAAATACTGTAAAACAACATAAATTTGTGCTCTTTTTTTAAAAAATTTGCTTATTCTAGATATTGCAGGTATCTGAAACAACGGACTTCTGCTCTGAATTTCATACTGGACTGGACTGGAGAGCCTGTGCCCTCCCTGGCAGTGAGTCCGGAGATGTGAGCGGCGACAGGCTGTGAGACATGTGTTCCTTCCCTGGGCTGTCATGACAGCATGCCACGTTTGCTGAAGAAGTTGCATGTAGATTCCATCCTAAATACTAGTGGTGCATCAAGCCAAGGAATTTCTACCATCAAATAAGCATGCAGGATGGTTTATTTGGAAATACGCATTTTCCTTTCCCCAAATACTTACACAGTTAACAAGGATAAGCAGAGCCCTCATCAGAGCAGTAAAGCCTTCCCTTTGTAGATCACTGTCCAAGCCAAACACTGTATATTTATTATTACCAGTGACTCCTGTCATAGCCTTTGGATTGTTAGCATAAACACATTTAGAAAAGTAAACAGGTAAATAACCATTGTTCACAAATATGAGCGCAGCATGGTGCGCCTAATCTCCGATAATCATGTCTAACCAAGTGATGATGTTTTACCAGTAAAAGTACAGGATGACTCTATTGTCTAACAATGAATAATACAGAAAAATGAGAACAGTGAAATCTCAATCATAAATATTGCACCAACTCCCCAAAACAAACATATTTTGTGTTAAGACTATGTGTACGTCCTCAGAATAACCTTTTTGTTTAACAGGTGTGCTGTTATTATCCAATATGAATATAGATGTGAAATATAAAAGCATCAGTGTCATCTAAAGCATCCTATTATACATATGATACATAACATGTATTCATTTCAATCAGTTATGTTGCTGCCCTGCATAGTTTTAACTGGTTTATTTTCATTGTAGCAGAAAAGTGACTTGAAAATAACCAGTACAGGTTTGATTATCACACCAAAAAATGCCATTTTGTTAATCACCAAAAGACAAAATATTATCCAAAGGCTGACCCATGATGTTAGCTTGTCACAAGTAACCATTGTTCAAGGCAAAACTGTCTGTCAGTGCCACAAGGCCAAGTTTGAACTTGGGAGGGAAGATGTTACATAGTTGCAAAATGCAGTATTGTAGACCCAGGGAACATTCAGAAATGTTGCTTGATAACAATGTAGTTGTACAAAATGAATGTTCTTAGGGACATAAATTATGTAATATTTTCTACTTCTAATTAAACAAATAAATTGCATTGAAAAGGAAAAAAGATTTTTTTCTTCTTTCCTTATGAAATTACAAATCTCAGAGAAAAGTATTTTAGATAGATGGCTTCTTCACCCATATACTGAGACATTGTCATTACAGTTTGACCACATAGTTTTGCACTATTTGTCTTTAAAGAGCCATGTACTGCATGTCATATAGACAATGTCCAGGAAGATAGATATATTTAATGTTCTTGTTGAAAAAATGATACAGTATTAAAATATAGGCTCTTTCCTCTTTAAAAAATAACTACTTGGTAATACAAGTGTTGCCTACTAAAGATAAACTAAATTGCCTCTGCAAAACCTAACCATAATATTCAGAAAGAACTTGTATAATCTTCCCCTAAAATATTTTGAAATGTGTTGATACCTGTATGAATAACAGAATGAATATATTTTTATATATTGATAAATGAGTTCCAAAATAAGAAAACTAATGAAATTGAATGGGGTCTCAGAAAGCCAATGATACACACGTAGTACATATATTATGTATTTACATATATAAGAATTTAGAATATGATCAAAATAAAACCTTTAGCGGTGCAAGGTGGGGCATGCCCATAGTCCTAGCACTTGGAAGACTGAGACAGGAGGATTGCTGCAAGTTCGAGGCCACCTTGGCTACATAGTGAATTCAAGGCCAACCTGAACTACATATACATAGTGAGACCCTTCTCAAAAAGACAAAAGATAAAGTATTTACTATATTGAAAAAGAAAGTGATTATTCAGTGATATGGTGACAGCTTGTAAATGGAAAAAATTGTGAGCCCCTGTTTCAAATCTTATTCCCTTTTATGTTTCATATATATTCAATTTTCTGTATTTTGTATTCTGAGTGGGAAAGATATTCTCAATCCAAAACCAGGGTAGCAAAAGTGCCAATGAAAAATCTACTGATGCTCAGCCTGCAGCAGAGCCTTGTACTCACTGGACTATTCAAGTTATGAGTTACAGATTTAGCATTTCCTAGGTAAGTGTTTCTTTCAGAGAAAACGTATTTTTGGTTATGCTTCCCTCAGGTCGACCTACCACTCAAGGGACACTTTGATATTGTCCTGTCCAATTTAACTTCTGTAAGCAGCTTTTTAAAGTATTTGGATTTTGCAGATAGGATATTTTATTGTTATTGTTCTAGTTTTATTTCTTTTTAAAATGTTTTTGTTGTTGTTAGAGGAAGGAAAACATGTCAGTCACTTGAATATTCATACTGGAGGGTTCTTTTCCATGTTTCTGCAGAAGTCCTGGGTAAACAAGCCACACTCAATTCAATTTAAATCAGAAGAACTACAAATACTTTTTAGTATAATATGTCACAGGGACTACTTGGTACATACTTACAATAAACAATTATACATCTGAAATTAAAATTTAACTGATGTTAAATTGAATCTGGTTCTGTTACCATGAGACCTAATGTCAGTCTTTTATGTTTCCTCGTGCTTACATGTGCATGCCTACTGCTCTAATCTGAATATGTTTTATGGAAAAAAATTAAAACGACACAATTGTTACAAATTAGATTTTTTTTGTACCAGGGCTCAAGCTCATGATCTTGTGCTTGTCAGGTAGGCATTTGTGCCACCAAGCTAAATCCCTGGCGCACAAATTAGAATTTTTGAGACTAAAACTTAAAAGTTAGTTCTGGAGGTGTGGCTGAGTGGTAGAATATTTGCCTGCCATATAGAAAACCTGATTTTGATTGATCATCAGTACCAGATAAACACTTAAGTTTTAAAATATAAACCCAAGTATGTTCAAAAGTATTCTATTCTGTAGCAAGAAAAATGAATCAAAAGGATACATGATAAGGCTTATTTTCAAAAACTCTAGAATATCAAGAGCAATTAAAAGACTCTGAGAATGGGTAGAAAACACTGCTTGAGTGAGTGATTTTGGTCTTGAGGAATGACATCTGCAAATATATAATGCCCATCTGCCTTTAATGATAAGAAGTTTAGTCATCTTATCAAAAAACTGTCCACATTTTTCTCTCTTCCCACTAAAAACAATGTTAGGGTTTGAGTCTGGATGTCCCCCCTAAAGCTCATACAGTCATGCAGGAGGACTTCTAGGGTTTGTAAATGACTTATGGTCCAATGATGGGATTATGGGTGTGAGTGCTACACCCAAGAGGGTGTGGCCTTCATATAGTATAAAGGACAGAAAGAGTCTTCTCTCCATCTCCACTTTTGCTCTTGTTGTTTTGGTATCTGCCACCACCATGAACTGTTGCCCCTCTGCTGTGCTACCCTGCCTTGAAGCCAGCTGATTATGAATTGAAACCTCTACAAAATCTGAGCTAAATAAACCTTTCTTTCCTTCATTTTGGGTGTCAAGTATTTTATCTCAGCAATAAGAGAAAAGTAACTCTATCAGCCTTTTGGTCTCCTGAGCTCTGGCCAGAATCTCCTCTACAGAACAGACTATGCTGTTCCAGTTTTACACATCCAAGTGAACTTTTTTAAAACTCTGCCCACAAGCCATTTCCAAAGCCTCTTGAAAAACATGGTCAGGTATAGTCTCAGCAAACGACCCCACTCCTGATACCAAATTCTGTCTTAGTTACTTTTTACTCATCGCTGAGACAAAATACCTGATGCCCAAAGTTGGGAAAGGAAAGGTTTATTTCTTATATTTTTTGGAGGTTTTAATACCTACTCAGTTGGCTCCAAGGCAGACAGGCATGGCAGGGCTGCAATTTATGGCAGCTGCAAACAGCAAGGCCAAAACCAGCAAAAGAGCAAGACACACCTTCTTCCTGCCATAACATTACATCCTGGCTCCACCCCTATGTGGGTGTAGCACTGACACCATCGATCTAAGCACTAGACAATGAACCAATCACAAATGCACAATGCAAACTCATGAGGCCTGGGGGACACAGACATAAACCATGACAGTAACCAAGACAAACATCTACTACTTTTCTCCTTGCCATCTATAAGGAATCTGTAGAGCAATAATTGAAGACCATATAAGGAAACTCTCCTCATGAAACTTCACTTCAAGACCAAGTATCTGACTCACATTTGCCCCCTTTTATGACTGAGTAGTACCCCATGGTGAAAACATCACATTTTCTGAATCCATTCATTTATGGATAAATATGCAGACCACTTCCAAGGCTGAACTGATATGAACTGTATGTGGGTATGTGAGTATCTCTGAAATATAATATCTTTAACTCCTTCAGGAAGATACCTGGGAGAGGAATAGCTGGTTCGAGTGGTTTTACTCTTCTGAGGAATCTTTACACTGATTTCCATAATGGTTGTTCTAGTTTGTATTCCCATCAACAAGATAAAAGAGTTCCTTTTCCCCCACAACCTCAATAGCATTGGTCATTGCTTGATTTATTGATAATGGCCATTCTCTCTGGAGTAAGATGAAATTTCAGTGTTCCTCGAATGCTGAACATGTTTTTTGTATTTACTCCATTTCTTATTATTCTGATAACTATGTACACATTTCAGTTGCCCATTTTTTTATTTTGCCTTTTATTTGGGAGGGTCTAATTTTTTTACTTCTTTATATGTATTTTAGATATTAGTCCTAAGAGAAGAGCAACTGGAAAATATTTTCCTATTCTGTAGATTGTCTCTTCACTCTGTTTATTGTACACTATGCTATGCAGAAGGATTATAATTTAATATAGTCCCATTTGTTGATTCTTGAGTATTTCTTGTGAAATTAAAGTTGTATTTGGAGTTTTTATTTTGTTTTTAATTTTTATTTTTTAAAGTGGAACAATGAAGATGTATGTTAGTTTTACTTAGTCCATGTTTGCAATACATAATGATTACATTCGCTGTGTAGAATTGATACATGTGCATAACGCATCTCAATTATTTCCCCTCTCCCCCTTCAACCATTTTTTTACCAGCATCAGATTCATTTATTCATCTTATAAGGCCTTATAAAGTCATCTTATAAGGCCAATATGGATTAACAGCCAGACTAACAAGCCAAAAATACATAAAACATATTAGACAATTATAATGAGTCAAGATACACTTTAAGATACACGGTTCAAGCTGGATTACAATAACATTCCTCTCTGTTTTTTTCTGTTGTCTGGCTTTTATTTTGCACTTTATTTACAAGAGTTTCTCATATAAGAGGAACCATGTGATATTTAGGCTTGAGTGTCTGAGTTACTTCACTTAACATTATGGTCTCAAAATACATCCAAAAATCTGTCAGTTTTTTCATGGGCCACATTACCCTCTGAAAATGCAAGACCATGTTATTGTTCATCAGGGTCAACACTGTGCTCTGTACAGTCACAGTGGGGTGGTGAGAACACAGACACCGCAGCACTCATCCCATTTTCCACAGTGGATTTCATTGCATCCCTGCTGACCTCCTCTCAGTCTGCCTCTTCCCCAGTGGCTGCTCCTCAGCAAGTGCCTTCTGCTGCTCACCCTGGAGTTCAGCGATTTCCCCCATCATCAGCTCCTCATTACAGTCCTCAGCAAGCTCCTCCATATCTGTGCCATCAATGTGCAGACCCACACTCTTGCCCATGGACACAACCTCTTCCAATCCCTGGCAGCAGACCCTTCAGAGCCATGGTCAGCAACACATCTGGCTACAGTTTCCACCGGGCTGAGTTTAAAGCCCATTATGTGACATCTTACCTTGATCAATGAGGTTGTGCAGTGGATGGTACTGAAATGTCTCTTCCAGAACTCTTTCATGGTCAAGAATGTCTCTTCAGTGATTAAACCCCTGATGAAGAGCACCTTTGCATACAACTTGTTGAAGTTGCAGGTCGCTTGCTGGTTCATGGGCTACAGAAGAGGTGTCATGTTGAGGAGAAGAACTTGACCTTTGTGAAGTCATACTCAGTGTCCCTATCATCCACCAAGGCCAAGGCTGGAGGGTGTGCCAGGGCATTGTCTATGCTTAAGGAATAATATCAAGGAAAAAGACTGTACATAATCACTACAGACACAAATTTTTCCACATATTTTCTGAGATTCAATCTATGGATACACCAAGTTGACTGTATTTTAAACCTAGAAAATATTTTGCCTCTTTGTACAAAGTTTTCAATGGCTAACTTGATAGAAACACTTGCACTTAACCCTCTTCCAAATAGGGATCAAAGTCTTGATATCTTCAAAGAGGTGCATTATATGGCATAGCGTTATCGTTGTGGTCTGCTGTGTGTATAGCCCCAAATTAAACACAATATGCTGAAAGAAAGGTGTAATAAAGATTTGGTGTATTAAAGGAGCCATTTCCTTTGATACAGATTTTTTTGAAACACAGTATATGTGCCCAAAAATGTATTGCCTCATTGTTCTCATTTTAGTACATTTCCATTTCTCTGGACGCATTTGTATTCCCTCCCACACTTGATATTTTTCTATGTGATTAATCTTGAAACAAACCTCTAATAGTGTTAACATTTCTTTATTCTTTTAATATTTCTTTATTCTATTACCTATTGAATAAAATATAGGCATCTTCCAAGGGTGTTTATGATTGATCTATGTAAAGGCTTTATATAAGTAAAGGATAAAAAGATTCAGAGCTTGATTTTTGGCTGAATTAGGATATGATGGGCATCAAAAAACTCCATGAAATTGAGGTTAGATATCTGAAAGATTATTGAAGACCATTCTAGTTTAAAAATCCTGTACCATAAAATATGTCTTTTTAATAGTGCCTCCGTGCTATTCTCCATTCCCAAAGTAATCTACATGGCTTTATTGCTGCATGTGTATTAAGGTTCTTTTCCAGTTTTGTCATTTTTAACATCTTCGTATGTATCTTTTTCTGTGCATGTTTTGTTTCTGATTATTCTGTGCCACTTAATAAGAATTCCTTCACAAAGGAATCCTTACCAATTTCAAAACACCTCTCCAGCAACTGCAAAGGCATATCTCAGTGATTAATGGTTTGCCAACTTTCTCTTAGAGAGGACTCTCAGGGCCTGTTCTTAAATAGACCCAGCTCATTTGTGGTAGTGAGGAAGAGCCTACCAGGCAACGTAGTGATGTAAGCACATCCTATTTCTATTTTTTTCAGTTCTCTCAGTAGGTGCAGCAGTGTGTGGGAGGTGACTTGACCTGGGTTACAAGATCTGATGTTTTGTGAGTTGATTATGAACAACAGTTATTAAACATTAAAGTATATATATAAATTTCATTGCATGGTTAATATTAACATAAAGTTATCTGCATATGTTGTATCTTTGTAGGAGAAATGCCACAGTATTGTGTAGGTGCTGCATGATGGGAGAAGCTACACCATGGAAATAAAATACACTGAAAACTTGATTCAATTATTTGTTGATCATTTGAACTTAAAGGTTAACACAAAGATGTTGAAGTCATTAGTGATGAATGCATAAAACTCTAGTATATATCTTCATTGTTCCACTTAACCCTTATTCTTTAATGGAAGTGAAACTATCATGCACCTTGTTGGGGCTGTATGAACTCGCAAATCATGTTATGAATGTTTTGACAGAACTGGATCATACTCAAACATTTACAGGCAGATTTTATGGCATTCTTGTTGGTGTAGAATGTTAAAAGCTGGCATGGAATTTTTCAGTAAATAGCAAGTCAGATTGAAGTTTTAGGTATAAACTGAAAATCCGGATGAGTATTTTAATTTAAAATTTATTTCTAAAATTAGATTTAAGCTAGACCTGGTAGCACATACCTGTAATACCAGCACTTAGGAGGCTGAGACAAGAGGATTGTTTCACATTTAAGACCAGCCTGGGCCACAATGTGAGCTCACGGCCAACCTGAACTGCATAGGGAGAACTTATCTCAAAAAAGACAAAAATAAATAAATAAATAGAATTAGAGTTTAAAAATCATTAGTACAATAGACTTTAAAATGTTACCATGAATTTTACTTACATATGTAAAATTATTTGTCAGATTCTGTTTCCTAAAATGACAGGGTGATTTTTCAGATTTTTTAAATGTGAAGAAACTGAAAACAGATACAGAAAGTGATGACAGGAACAAAAATCACTGTACATTGTCATAGTCACAGGAGCCAAGTTTTGAACATCTCAAACGATCCATCCCAGAAGAGAAGCTGCTGTGTTCATCAACGGAAAAAATAGATAATCTTGTGCTTCCAGATTGTTGGAATGGAAAGCAAGCATTTATGTTCACAGAACATATAAGTGGCTAGAAATTTAAAAGGTAAATTAGAATGTAGGGATTGTTCAACAGTTCGGTATTTGGAATTCAAAGCAGAAATGCTTGTGCATGCTTCCAAAGACTGGATTGCATGTTTAGTGCCTCTAAAGTTTGTAATAAAACTACCATGCAAGCTTCTCTGTGG